ACCCAAGCTGGGGCACCACTTGTGTTCTCCTTTCCATTGTGGTCAGCGTACACACTCCCATCATAGTTTAGCCTTGATTTCTTCTGCAGCTTAATGGGATGGATTTACACCTGGGTTATTCGACTATGAGGACTGGCAGCAAGAACCAACCTTTCACTGCAAGTACTATGGCACATCTACTGTTCTGGGTCATTCCCTCAAAGCTAGACTCACTTCACTATGACTGTGGTTACCACTGAGACTGCTTCCTTGGTTTGTTACTTAAGGAGGTGGTTGGGTGGTGCTTTGTTGTGAGTAAAGCATTCTGCCACATGTTGTACCTTTGAGATGTCCACCTATGCTGCCACTTATGCCCTGCTAGGGGACGTGATAAGAGATACACAAAGATCTTCAGGTGGCTGCTAATTTAGATCATCATAAAGGTCACCAGAAGAAGCCAAGCTGTGCAAAATGGCCTGCTGCTGATGTCATCAGGCCGAGGGCCACACAGCGAGTGTTACAGGATATGTAGAAAACAGATCTGGCCTTTTTGATAGATATTACAAATGTCTGAAACATGATCCAAGACAGGCCAGATGCTATGGAATAGACACTGGAAACAGCTTCTGTAAGCCTGCAGATTTGATGGGGCAAGATATCAAGGAGTCAGGGGAGCAGAGTTACCAGCTATAGGCAGGTGTTAGGAGACTCAGATATGGTGCCCATCCTACTGAGTCTCATGTTACCAGTGGGCATGCTTTCAGAATAGAAACAATTACCTCTGACAGCACATCTGTCTGATGAGAGCCCCTCCAGCTCTCACCATGATGCCAGACCCTTCATTTCCTCTCTGCATGTCCAATTGCTGCCATGATTCCAAAGCTCAGGGTGACTGAGTCTTCCTAATGTCATGCTCATGCCATTTAAGGGGCACACATTCATCTCCAGGTACCTGCTGTGTCCATCCACTGATCCTGCACTGGTTTCTTCAGCCAGAGGTTATGGGGACTTGTCTTCCTATCAGTGGCATGGGGTACAGGGAATTCAGGTGTGCTGCTAGGACCCCTCATTCTTCAGGGGGGATTTCTGCAGCCAAGTCATTTCTCCCAGTTTTTAAAGATCACATGACAGGGGGTTAATGGCCACGACAATTTTCATATCTTTGCCCCTTCTACCTATTTCCATGTAGCCTTCAATTCACTTATTTCTGGCACTTTTATTCAGCTGGATTTCAGGTGGATTATGAATGATGGTGGTTCTGTAGTTTAGTTGTAATTCTTATGTGCTCATGGGCCTATAGAGTGTAGTATTTAATTTCTCTGGAATCTTGGCCAGAACCCCTAGTCTTTCTTATGTTAGATTACACATATGTGACAGTGATTACACATTTTTGCCTACCTCTGCTTTATTTGATTTAGCAGAATTCTCTCACAGTTCATTTATATTGGTAAAAAGTCAACATTTTTTCTTGTTGACTTATGCCATTCTAATGTCTTTATGTATAAAATATTATTAAAGTATTGATATGTTAAACATCTTGGTTGTTTTTGTGTATTGGATTGTGTAAATAATGCTCCAATAAACATGGGTATGGAGGTATCTCTTTTAGGTAGCGATTCAATTTTTTAAAATATATTTCCTGACGGGGGTGCCCTGATCAAATGGCTTTCCTGTCTAATGTAATCTGTGGGACGTTTGCACTCTTTCTGTAGTGGATTCACTAATTTACATTCCCACCAACAACGTCTTAGTATTTCCTTTTCTATCATCTCACCAACACCCGTCTGTGCTATTTTTGAGGACACTAGTTGTAAGAATTGAAAGGTGGTATCTTCATGTGTTTTGGACTTGAATTTTCTCCAACAGAAAAGCTGGGAATTGGGGCCATGTTAGGGAAAGAATTTTGTTTTGAAAATATTTTCCTGAGTTTTTCCTGTTCTCAATGCTATATGTTTTTTACAGTTTTTAGCTGTACTTTTCTTAGATTATTTTTTTAGGGAATCCTATTTTTTATCATTTACCACAGTAATATATAGCCTGTATCTTAGCATTCCTACATGTTCAGGTTCCATGTCAAAAATATGTGCATCATTTTCTTTCTCCGTGTCAACATGAGCAGTTTTACCATTAGGACATTCAATGCCCTACACCTTTAATTTTCCCATCACAAAATAATAACTATGTTTCTTTTATAGGTAATTAGCTTATCCACTACATTTAAAACCATATTTCAAAAGTCCTGACTTCAAAAATGAAGGAACTCATTTGCAGTCAGGACTTCAAAAGTGTAACTGTGTGTCATCCCTGAGTCCTAAACTAAACACTAGGAAATAATTTGAGGGTGCACTTGAAGATAAAAGTGAAAACCCTGGTGCACTTTAAATGAAGGGCTTGGCCCTCAGGCCCTTTGAAGTAAGAGTCCAGTTAACTTAAATGACTCTGGTGAAATTCCTTAATATCACACAATGTTAGCGCTGGGAAAATACACTCGTTCTTCTAGGGAGGACTGAGAAGCACAAGGAAGCTGGAATGAATTTAAAATGTCAGACATGTATCGCTAAAAGTGGTGGGTGTAGGGGATAAGAATGGAAGTGGTCTTCTCCCATACAAAGTTCTGTTTTCATTTATATATACTGTTGTGTTGTTTACACTTGCAGAAAGTTGTATCATAAAACTGACTGTCACCTGATTAACTTACTATAATCATTGAAACTAAAATGTATAAGAAGAAAGAAGCTTGGGAGAGCTGCTTATTTAAGGAGGGAGTCATAATTTCTAGCAGAGATGAGCAGGTACAATAAGGGACAAGCAAACAGAATGGCTATATATTTATTCTCAAGACAACTGGAGTCAAGAAAAGGATCATTCCTCCCTCAGGCTCCCAGAAATACATCCCTGAGCTACATTCTGTCCAGGAAAACTACTCAGTTTATGTGGACCAGAGTCCTATGAGTACCGACTTTTCTGTTGAGTAGTAAAAATATTGAGGTGTTATTGTTGTGTTTCCCCAGAGCATGTTATGTGAGGAGGACCCTTTCAAGGGCTTTTAATCAGAGGAGTCTAATTATAGATTTATATTCATTTGAATATAAATGAATTCATTTCTATTCCTCAGAGGAGTGTGATCATGCATAGGAGGGACTTTTTAAAAAACTTTTTGTATCACTGGAATTCATGTAAAATTTATCAAGAAATGCTTGGGGTCGAAAAGCATACTTTCTCTTGCTATAGTGCTATGTGCACATGTAAAAGATGGGTGTTGTTCTTTCGGGAATGCAGAGTGTATTTATGAAGAAACAACTCAGTTTTCCTCCTCTTCTGGAGAGAAGCATTTCTAGTGCTTCTAGACTGGGAATTTCCATCCTTTATGATCCCTTTAGTCAGACTAATGTGACCACACTCACAATCATACTAGAATCTGAAATTCCTGGTCACTAAATTGTAGGATTTTCCACCACCTTTATCAGTCTCTGCGACACCAGTGGGCCATTAATGGATATGATAACATATTGAATTCAGAGTCATACCGTACTAAGCTACAGTAAATACAAATGTAAAAGAAAGATTACAAATATAATGTGTCAAAGAGTCATCTACAATTTGTGGGAGTATTATAATCTTAATTTTTGACATAAATCTCACAAATTTTCTCATCTTGTTCAAGCTGTACAAAACGCTTCAAAGTCAAAGGTAGTGGTCAAGTGAAGAACACAACCAGAGAAATATGCAGAAAAGAGTCCTGGCCCCGACCCAGTGACCCCTTCACGGCTTCTCCATGCACGTCCCACCACCAACAGGCCTGTATTCAGGTGCAGCCCATCTGCAGAGGTGCTCTGCTCAGACTCCTACCCCTCGGAAGCTTTGACAACACACGCATGCAGCGTTCATGAGACTCGGGAGGTAGTTACAGACCCAGGAAAGTCATGCAAGTCTTCATCTGTCTGGTGTTTCTAGTTCAATACTGATCCTCTGAGTTCACATTCTTGTGCACGTGAAGCCCGAGGTTTGCTACTTTGGTTGAAATTGTAGCTGTGGAAACCCCAACAACTGTGAGTCCACAATATAAGTTAAAGGCCCCCAAGCCCAGACCAGTTCCCTGCTGGGCGGAGGGCCCATTTTCAGGCAATCACTGAGGCCCTCCCAGCCAAGGTTTCTCCACTGTTCTTTTGTGAATTTTCTGCTGAGAGACATTGCCTGGGAAACAGGCCCACCTCTCACCATTTAAAGGGAGAAGTCAAGTAGAGTAAACGATCTGTGCACCTCACAGTTCCTGGACCAAAGAGCCCAAATTGCTCCCCAGGGTGCAGATATGCCAAAGCCCCCTTTGATATCCTCCAAGTTTAATAACATGCACTGCAGAGAGAGATTTGTTTGGAGGAGTTCTGAAGGCAAGTGCAGTGGCAGCAAGACACGTTATGGATGTCAAGTGGGGCTTTGACCGCAAAGGGTTCTGCAAACTTTAAACACCTAAACTTTACCCATATAGATTGGAATTAGATCACCTGAGCAGATCTAAGAAGTGACATCAGCTGTGCTCCCTGACAGAGTTACTGAACTTCTCTGGGTGAGTCATCCTTGTTGAATGAGGAGACCCAGGTGATGCTCAGGTGAACCCATTGATTAGCAGGAGGGCTCTGGAATGTGTCTGCGAGAGGAGAGAGCAGGCTTTGTTCAGGTGAGATAATGGAGTGTTCTGTTGCTTGTGCAGTTCAGGAGAGCAGCCCCCATTCTTCTTGCTGTAGAAGCTTATGGACCTCTGTGGGAGGAGAGAGCACATGAAGACAGAAAAAGAAGCTCAGTGTGGTCTCCCTGTATCAGCTCACTGTCTACTTCTTTGTGACAAAGGAGATGAGAGGGTGGGCCTTTCAGCATTTCCAGGTTCTTCTGTCAGTGATTGTGGTGGGTTTAGACAAAAGGGCTGTGCCTTTGAGGACACATTCTCAAATGCAAACTTGACTCCTCAGCATATGGTGGCCTGAAAACGGAACCCAGAGGAGGAGGTAGAGCAGGGCCAGGAGGATATGGCGGCATTCTCAGGTAAAAACTATTTCCTGGTTCAGAGGCTGTGCTTGCTTTTCCTCCCAATATGATTGCATTAAGAATCAGCAACCTTTATTTCTCTTCTTTAATGTCATTTGATAGTGAGATTGTTTTTATTGTCTACTTCATTCATTTTCTAGTTATGAGTGTCAAGCGCAGTAGTTTTTGCCCCTTCCTTTTCTCCTTTGTCCCAGGTCCTCCTGTGCATTTTCTTTATCTAGGCTACCCCAGTTCAAGAATTCCTGCCTTTCATTAATAACCATCAAACACAGAAGACATCACCTGTTTGACAGATCAACCTGGGAAGGCAGCCGAGTGCAATATATTTTGGGATGGGCTCAGAGGCTTTGGTATTGGTGGAGCAGAATATATATGTTTAAGTTCATGTGGCAGCAGCATCACTGTTGTACATCAGTAGTAAGAAGATACAGATTTTACAGTGAGAATCACACTGAATGTTCTGTAAAAGAACAATCAGTATAATAGACTTTGTCACTGAATTGCTAAGAATGATTTGTAATTTAAATACACAATTAGTGTACTGAACATGAAAGGTACATATGGATTGATATAGGAAGAAACAAATGTTTAGTTATGATTATTTTCACATAATAACTTTCTTATGTATGTATTTTGACAGTAGTGTCAGAACAATAAAGGCATGTCCTCTGCATGGTTCAGGCACTGCGTATTGTTCAATTCCAAGTGATACTCACTTGGCTGAGGTTCTCTCTTCAGTGTAGACTTAATACTTTTCCTTTATCATTAACACGAGTCTAGTAGGGAATTTATTGAGGGATGACTATTACATTTCATCTGAAAACTTTCATTGCCTTTTTAACTTCTGTTTGCTTTGGAAAATGAAGACCATACATTCCTTTCATAGAGATCATTGGCTTTTGACATGAAAGATGGAATTAGTGAGGACTTGTTCCTGTAGATTTTGTTATATTGCACAGTCATGTCACAGATGTACTCTGCATTATTGCCTTTTACATTTTCAGATAATTTTGCAGGAACCATGTTGTAAACATGTTTAATTCAGAAAAAATGGTAACATGTAGCTCTGCACTCATGATACAAAAGCATTCTCAAAGACATAAACCTCTAAGAAACCATAGCTCTAACTCCTTTTCTATTGTTTTGTGTGTATTTGTCTTTATTGTGTTTATAAAACACACATGGTATGTTTGAGTGACAGACTCACCGTATTTACAGAATCACAAAATAGCATTGATTTATATTGATATAAAAATGTTATGTTATATTTCTTTCATTTCTACCAAGTTTCCATATGTCCAAGAATGTGACAGTGTGTATAAAATGTTAACAATTGAGTTACTTTGTCTTTTTAGTCTTTAAAGTTGTTTTCATTCTTCTCAATTAGAAAAAGAGCAGTGACTATCGATGAGGTCTCTATGTGTATTTGACCATATATTTTTTTTTAAATCGCAGTTCCAGTTTCGAGTAGAACTAAAGGTCTATGTTTTACCGTATGTTTCAGAAAATATTTTCATATCAAGACTAATCTTGTTCTCAAAGTAACTGTACTAAATATTCAAATAAATTCTGGCTGCTATGTTTCTTACATGTTGAGAAATGTAAATTGTATACAATTCACTGAACTCCAAATCATGTGTGACTTCTTTTCTGTGTCTTCCTTTTTGAGCCATTGAGAAGTACAGCACATAGACCAGAGACCCTGACTTCATTTGTGAAGAGTGAGCTTGTCACTGCTGGCCAAAATATAGGCATAAGTAGACATCCTTGGTTTTCTTGCACAAACAATAGGATAACAACCAATTTGAAAAGGACAAAGCAGAAGAAGTGACAATTTGGAATTTTTGGAAATCAGACAACCAAGTGGAAAAAGAGGCATTCATCCAGACGAATAGGAGGGGCAGAGATAGTCAGAGTTTTGATGATGTGTAGGACAATGTTGGCTGGTACACCAGGTGTATGAGACAGTGAATGGTGGACTGGGTTTGTGAGGCAGCAGTTCAGGGACCAGGTGGTATTACATTCATGTCCACATAAACCAGGAGAACAATGGGGAAAGAAGAAAGACAATGCTATCTAGGGTTCCAGCATGGGAACCTGAAGCCAAAAAACCTCTGGCTATAAAAGTCTGTGGAGATTTTAGGAGTGGGAGAATCTAGGAGTCTCACAGAAGACTCTGTTGCAGGGCCCCATGCAATCCGAGGAGTTATACAAGTCCACTCAACACAGAATCATCACCAGAAAGGGCAATTTGCTTGAGGGTATCAGGAGAATTGAGTAAAAGCTGGGTCAGAGGTAAGCAAGCAGGATTGTTCCCTCTCTGATCTTTTTCCAACAAACAGCACCACAACCCAGCAAAGTGGGTTTTCCTGCCTTGGAAAATAACTAATGCTCTATCCCTTGGAATTTAACACCTGAAACGAGACAAAGAAAAATGGCCCAAATGAAAGAACAGATTAACATTCCAGCAAAAGATGCCTGGCTGCTGTAGGTCAGTGGATGAAGTGCCAACCTGTGAACCAGAGAGTCGCCAGTTCACTTCCCAGTCAGACCATATGCCTGGTTTGCTGGCCAGGTCCACAGTATGGTGCACACTACAGGCAACCACACATTGATGTTTCTCTTACTCTCTTTCTTTCTCCCAACCCACTCTGTAAAAACAAATAAACTGTTTTTTAAAAGAACTGAGACCTGTATAGGTAGAGAACAAAACAGATGCAGAGTTCACAACACTGGTAAGCAGGACAGTCACAGAAATGGTTGAGTAGAGCTGCAAAATAAAGGAGGAAGTGAAGGATCTGCAAGGTGAAATACAGAATCATATACAGGGGGCCAACAGTGAAAGGAGTGAAACAGGGACTCAAATCAATAATTTGGAGAAGAAGGAATAAATGAACATTCAACCAGACTGGAATGAAGAAACACAAGTTGAAAAAAAATGAGGATAGGCTGAGTTAGCTCTGGGGCAACTTTAAACCTTTCAACATCCTATTTTTAGAGGTGTCAGAAGGAGAAGAGTAACAGCACAAAATGGAAACATGTTTTGAAAAACAATGAAGTAAAACTTGCTGAGTCTGGTGGAGGAAAAGACATGCAAGTAAAGGAAACTCAAAGAGATTCAAAGAAGTTGGACCAAAGAAAGAACACACCAAGACACATCAAATTTCATTACCCAAAATGAAATACGAGGAGAAAATCTTAAAAGCAACAACACAAACAGTTACCTACAAAGTGGTTCCCAGAATACTCACAGCTGATTTGTCAAAAGAAACCTTGCAGGAAAGAAGGGACTGGAAACAAGTATTCAGAGTCATGTAAGGAAGGGACCTACATCTAAGATTAACCTAACCAGCAAAACTATCACTTAGAATGGAAGGGCAAATCAAGTGCTTCCCAGATAAGGCCAAGTTAAGGAGTTCATCATCACCAACCCCTTATATGAAATGTTCAATGGATTTAATCTAACGAAAAGAAGATGATCAAAAATGTGAACAGTGAAATGGAAAAAAAAATTACAATATTTACAACTGACCTATAAAAACAAAACCCACAGAAAAATAAATTAAGCAAAAAACTAGAACAGGACCAAATTCACTGTAATGTGAATCATATGGAAGGCAATCAGCTTGGTGGGTGTGAGGGAAGAATGGGGGAGAGGGAACCGGGAAGAAACAGCATAAATGCTGGGTACAAAATAGAGAAGGGGTATTTAAAATATATTAGGAAATTGGAAGTCATGGACTTATTTTTATGATCCATGGGCATGAGCTTAGTGGTGGAAGCATGGAGGGAAGGGGGCTGCAGGGCAGAAGGGGATAAGGCAGGGGAAAAAAAAGACAGGAGAGCATAATCAATAAAACATACTTATACAAGTGAGCTTGTGAAAAAGGCAAAAACACAGGCCTCAACCACAACTCCCAACACAAAATCTGCATTTTAACACAACTATATTTTTTGTTGCCTGAATGGAACCTAAAGAAGTTATTTAAACGTTCACCTCACCATGCTTTTTGTAGCTGAGCAGTATACACAGCTGTTTTTGCATGATACACATACAACACTCAACAATCCATATGCATGTGTGCGTTCCTGCATTTTAAAGTTTATATTCCTGAAAAGTAATGTATTTGCATTGGATTTGTAGGCATGTATTATCCTCATTTGCTGATGTTACAAAATGCATTAGAGAGTGTTAGAGGGTTGAACTGGCCTTACTGAGTGATGCAGTAAGGTGAATACCACCTCTAACACTTTTCCTGTTAGATGACAGTGAGGACTCTGTTGTGTTTCCTTAGTAAATGTGCCTCATTTTGTTTCTTCAGCTACCTTTGACCTTCAAGGACGTGTCAGTAGATTTCTCTCAGGAGGAGTGGGAATGTCTGGACCCAGGTCAGCAGAAATTGAACTCGGACATGATGTTGGAGAAGTACAGGAACCTGGTCTCCCTAGGTGAGGCTGACTACCTTCATAGTTCTCTCTCCACCTGCTGGATTTTGTTTTCTTTATTTAATATCTTTTGGGGACTTGACTTTGTTTGGTAGACTTTCAGATTCCTGATCACAGTAGAGAACTTGGAGGTTATCTCATGCAGAAAATAAAGGACTTGAGTGAGAACTATAGTCCTTAGGTACTCATTGTCTGAAAAAATTATGTTATTGTTCAAATAATTAAGGCACTCTCAAGAAAGAAGGTTTTAGGAAAGTAATCTTTTAGAAGATTTTAATTTTCCTTCAGCGCCCTTACCTGAGCACAATGTTGATTAGATAGGGGAAACTTTAAAAATAATAATATTTATTTTGTACACAGGTCTTGTGGTTTCTAAGCCACTGCTGGTCACATTTTTGGAGCAAATGAAAAAGTGCTGGGATGTTTGCAGAAAAATGTTAACATCTGCCCCCTCAGGTAGGTGGAAATGGAAATGTGGATGCCTCAGGTGAGAAACCCAAAGGTCACAGAGTAAACTAGACCTTCAAGTGTGATTTGAGAAACTGTGCGTCAATGAAAATTATTTTGAGAAGTCCAGGTTTAATTATTTGGCTGTCATAGAGGGCCAGCCGGTATCCCACAGTGTCCCATGCTCCTACATGCTTTCAGAATTGTGTTTTTACTCCAGTGACCTCTGTTATCCTATTGGTAGTTTCAGCCAAAGCCCTCCCTCTCAAAAAGTAAGTAAATGCAATCTGTGATAAAAGTGTGCCATGTATACATCAAGTTATTTTTAGATTCTAGGGTCACCAAGTTATGACTCCTCTTGCATTTCTTCAGGGACCTGGGAAAATCTGTGCATGTTGCTGAGAAATCGTGCATTCATCATTTTTTTTCTTTTTTTAAGTTGTGTTTTTCTGCCAAAAATGGAATTTGTGAAGGAAGTAGTCGAGATGCTGGAATTTCATGCAGAAATCCCAGGAATCCTGGGTACAGGGGTCATGTTTTCTGACTGTATTTTTAACCCACTGGGGGCTGCAAAGAAGACCCTACAAAGATTAGACTCAGTGATATTCTTGTAGCACAAAGTTCTCCCCAACAAGAGACGATCTACTTTTCTGTTCGACTTCAAAATGTCCCTGTGCTCATGCACCTGTACTCTTGTTTCTTGATCCATTGATTTACTGATAGGGACTTAGGTTGCTTCCAGCATTGGGCTGTTGTAAATTGTGCTGCTATAAACATTGGGGTGCATAGGTTTTTTTTCTAATTTGTGTGTGAGGGTCCGTAGAGTAGAAGAGGCTCCTAACCTTTAGGGCAGCGTTATGGTAAAGAAATAAGACAGGCAGTGAAAGACAAGTACCATATCTCACCTATAAGAGGAAACTAATCAAAACAAACAAGCAAGCAAAGTATGACCAGAAATATCAACATAAAGAACAAACTGACAGTAAGCAGAGGGAAAATGGGAGGGGATAATGGTGGGAAAGAGGGCAAGGGTTTTCAGGAACATGTATAAAGGACACCTGAAGAAAACTGAAGGTCGGTCAGATCAGTACGGGGACCTGAGGATGGATTTCTTGGGGGGGGGGGATGTTACGGGGGGAAATGTAGACTACTGTATGTGAACACAATAAAATAATTGGAAAGAAAATCTTTTGCTTTCCCAGGGCCATGGAGTGGGATATATAGAGCATGCAGAGGCCAGTTGCAGATTTTTTGAATGACTTAGGAGAGTCTGCACCATGAAGCAACAGGGGTCATTTGTATGGAAAACCCACTGGATGTGGCTTGGTCGAATTCTCAAGTGGAGTGGGGCAAGGCCTCAGGGAATCACTAGGACAGGGCTATAGCATTAACCAGGTAGGTGGGGACTCAGATACAACACCTTCTAATTCTATCCTGGGGAGAGCTGAGCAGGGAAGAATTGCCTCAGATGACTTTTGTGTGGGAGAAAGCTGTGCCTCCAGCCTCATCCCTGAAGCCAGACAGTTGATTCCCTTCCTGAATGTCCCTAACACCTTTCAATCAGCTGTCCCAAGGCTGAAGGTCAGAGTCCCTGTAAGTCTGTGTCAGGCCCTTTAAGAGAAAGACTTGGACTCCAGTGTCTCTCAGTCTCAGTCAGTCATCACTGCTGGTTTTCCAGGGTGATTCCTTTTATATGACAAATTCTCCAAACTTTGTTGGGTGATTTTTTTGGTATTTATTTACATATCAGGAAAGTAAATTATAGTTTTAAGATTAGTTTTAAGACATTGTGGGACTCGATTCATATATGAATCAGCCACATGGCAATTGAACTTAGATTTAAGTGCACATTTGTCTGGTTTCTTCTTTATACTGTTCATGACGTATCTTGTTTCTTTCTGTGCTTGTTTAATGGTCAGTGACTGTTAGGTCATTTGAGTTACAGAAATAGTCTTCATTTTACATCTGTGCATGGCTGAAATCCTTTTGGGGCCCATGCCTGTGTTGTGAGCTAGGTCCCCAGCAGGGGGCACATGTGAGGCCACCTCACCTTGATGTTTCTGGACCTCCTCTCCCCTCTGTCTAAAAGGAAATAAAGAAAATCTTGGAAAAAAAAGAAACAGCTTTTCTGAATAGAATTTAATATTTGAAAAGATTTGACTCAGGCTTTCCTGTTCCTCTGAGACAGCCTGTGCCTGCGTTCTGCTTTGCCATACCATGGCATCAAGACTTACACAGCATATCCTCCAACAAGCAGCAGTGTCCTTCAGAGGACAGCAGCACAGGAATACCCTTCCTCCTGCTCTCAGAGGACGCCACTGCTACAACCAAGGGATCTGTGCAGGTGGCTGGCCATGACCTGCGCAGTGCCAATGATTACACAGTGCCACCTATGGAGAAAGCCCTTGTGAAAACGGGCAGTCAGATCACTCTGCCTGCTCAGTGCTGTGGAAGAGGAGCTCCATGTTCTGGCGTGGCTGCAAAACACTTCCTAGATGTAGCAACAGGTTTCATAGATGGAGATTATGGAGAAAATACGTGTGGTGTGCTGTTCAATTTTGGCAAGAGTAGTTTATAGTGAGGAAGTGTGAGTGTGTTGCACAGCTCATTTGTGAACGGGTCTGTTATACAGAAAGAGGGCAAGTTGAAAGTTTGGACGACACTGAATGGGGTTCCAGAGGTTTTGGTTCCACGGGAAAGATTTGAAATGTATGTGGAGAACAGAAAATGAATAAACATATTTTTTCCTAAAAATAAGAAGCTTTTCTTTAGTGTGTTGTTGCTTAGTCAATCTTTAGCTTCCAAAAATACTTAGTTCTCTTATGACCAAGGAAAGGGTACATTTTTTGTGTTTTTCTGCATTCGATGGTTGTATAGATCTACATGTAACTTAACACACATTACTTTATCAGTCAAATGTGTATCATTACTGATTCCTCTCAGAAGTCTATCATTTAATTTACTAAATGCTGGCCCTTGAACCACTTAATTTTCAGTTTACTTTATAAATGATAATCAAAGCCTTTTATACAATAGATTTGAATCTTTTCACAGATTCTTACATATGCTTAAATAAAACATAATAAAAAGTTAAAGTCAAAAAAGGAAAGATATATAGCTCTCTCTTTCAGATATTATTTATTTTAAATTTTGTTAACAACCATGTAAATAAGAATCTACATTCTTAACTATCACTAATGGTACAGTTAAGTCATATTAAGTATACTTGCTTAATTGTGCATCTAAATGATGGAAACCCCCATCTCACATAAATATCACAATATCCATTAAACAACTACTTCCTCTTTTTCTTTCCTAAAACCAAGGCCCAGGTAACTACCTTTTCTTTTCTCTGAGTTGCACTCCATTAGAACTCACCTAAGTTGGAATGCAGTAGCATGTGTCTTTGTGACTTCTGTGCTTCACTTAGAACAAGTTCTAGTTTGATTTTGTGGTTTCAGGTGAGAAAATATTTTCTCTTTCCTGGAAGAGCAATATTCCATTGTATATATGTACTACATTTTTATAACTTTTTAAAATGTTTTATTCATTAATTTTTAGAGAGAGGAGAAAGGAGGAAGAAAGAGAGGGAAACAACAATGTGTTTGTGCAAGTGACCTACCCCCTAGAGGGAACCTGGCTCAAAACCCAGTCATGAGCCCTGACTTGGAATTGAACCGGCGACTCTTTTGTTCACTGGACAGCACTCCATCCACTGAGCCACAGCAATTGAAGCTGTATGTACTACATTTTCAAATATATTTATTCATAGACCTGAGGGTTGTTTCCACTTACCAGGCTTTTGTGAATAATGCTACAATTGACACAGGTATGCGAATGCCTCATGCAAATCCTGAATTGAATAGTTTTTGCTTGTATCTAGAACACACCCTGACCAACTGAGCACTGGGTCAGACAGATTAAATCCTCTTACTTTATGAATTTCAGTTTCTTTCCTGCCTAGATATATTATTTCTTTAGTGCCAAATATCATTTCATTGCATATATTTCAGTTTATATGAATATATATATATATATATATATATATTCAGCTGTTGACAGATATATTCTTCATTTTGAATTTTAAGAATTTATGAATGAAACTTCTAAAAACAACTTCTTGTAGGCTCCTGTATAGATAAAATTTCTAGCTCTTTGGTTAAATACTATAGAGTACACTTTGTGACTCCTAAGTACATGTTTAATTGTGTGTGTTTAGTTGTGTGAGGAATTCCAAACTCTTTCCATGTGGCTGTAGCATTTTGTATTTTCACCAACAAGCAATGAGAGTGGCATTTGCTCCACATGCACAGCAGAATTTGCTCTTGTCAGTGTTGTGGATTCTGATCTTTCTCAGAGGGGTACCATGTTGCTTGTATGTGAACTTTGTCTAATGTTCATTCTTTTAATGCCCATTTCCTTAGAGACATAAGACAGGGAGGGTCTTTTCGATACTAAATTTTATGTATTTATTTTAAAAATATATTTTAATTATATATTTTTAGAGACGATTAAGGGAGGAAGGGAGAACAACATTGATGTATAAGAAACACATTGATCCTTTGCCTGTCATACACCACCCATAGGGGACCTGGTACACAACCCAGGCCTGTGCCCTTACCCAGAATCAAACTGCTGACCTTTGGTTCAAAGGTAAGTTCTTAGTCCACTGCCACACCAGCCAGGGCTTACAAATATGTTCTCATAGTTCATGGGTTCTCTTTTTTCGTCATGATGATGATTGCTTTTCTGTTTGTTTGTTGTTGTTTTTTTTTTAGCTTACTGTTTGATTTGAGATGTGTGGTTTAAATGTTACTACTATGCATTGAGAGACAAAGTTGCTTAACAATTTGCCTTCAAAAGTATGCACTGGCCCCAGTGGGTGTGCCTCAGTGCATTGATCACCAGCCTGCAAACAAAAGGGTCTCCAGTTGGATTCCCAGTCAAGGGCACATGCCTGGGTTGCTGGTCATGACTCCAATAAGAGGTGCGCAACAGCAAACCACACACTGATATTTTGCTCCCTCTCTTTCTCTTTCCTTTCCCCTCTTTAAACATAAATGAATGCAATCCTTCAAAAAATTGTATACTGTATACATTTAAGTTTTCCTAATTGATCAATAACACAGAAGTTATATTTGCAGTCCTTTTTTTTTCATGTTTTCAGTAAGTACATTGTTAGTCATGACTTGAAGGAGATGTGATGAGATATAATTTTTAACATTAAACAAGTTCTGTTCAGAGGGTATCCAGACATGCAATGTGAAAACTAAAGACATTTATTGAAGGAGATACAAGGATCACTGTACATAGAACAATGACACCTCATTCTCTTTCAAAGTAAGCACCTTGGGACCTCACACAGTTTTCCCAGTTGCCATCACCTGCTCTGTCATTTTTTTCCTGAATGTCATCAACAGTGTGAAGTCTCTTCCCTTTCAAGACTGATTTTAGTTTTGGAAAAACTGGAAGTTGCATGGCTCCAAAAATGAGCTATAGGGAAGCTGATTGACCTGGGCAATTGAATGTTTCACCAAAACACTCTGCATGAGACATGATATAGGAAGAGTGTCCTCTTGTGCTGAAGCTGGTATTCACAAGTGGCCCATAGGGGCAGCCTTCTGAATCATCTGAATAGAATCCATGGAGAAATGTTGAAAACTTATCAGAACATTTGATGCAGATTCTTTGCTCCACTCTCCCAGTCATTTTGAATGTTAATGGCCCACAGTACACATGCTTACTCACCAGGGTGTACTGGGCCCTCTGAGTAGTACAGTGATGTAATCATTGTTTACACATGGGCATTCCAGTCCACCCTCCTTGGCTGCTCGGATACATCCATGAGGTGCATACTGTTCTTGTTATGTTATATTAACAATTGTCAGAATTTTTCCCAGAACACCTCTATTTTTCACTAAAATAAAATCATTTTTATTCCATTCTGCATCTTCACTATGGTAAATAATACTATAGTGAATATAAGGATGTATATACCATTTGAAATCTGTTTACTCATATTCTTTGGATAACTACCAGAAAAATGTCATTGCTGTGTCCTGTGGTAGTTGTCTGCAAAAATTTGAGGAACATCCATCTTGTTTTCTGCAGTGGATGCACCAACTTATTTTCAGCCTCACCAACAGTGCACAAGGGTTGTCCTTTCTCCACATCATTACCAGTAGTCATTGTTTGGTGATCTATTGATAATTGCCATCATGATAGGTGTGTTGTGGCATTTCATTGTAGTCTCAATTTGTATTTCTCTGATGACTAATGATATTGAACATCTTTTCATATGTCTTTTTACCATCTTTATGTCCTCTTTAGAGAAATATATTTGTAATTCCTCTGTCCATTTTCCATTCTATTGTATGTTATTTTTTTAAATTTATGTATTTATATTTAGGGAGTGGAATGAAGGGAAGAAGAGGAGAAGAGAACCCTCAATGGGTGGTTGTCTCTTGCACACCTCCAACTAGTTACCTGGCCCACACCCCAGGCATGTGCACTGACTGGGAATCAAACTGGCAATCTTTTGGTTCACAGGCCAGCACTCAATTCATTTTGCTCACAAGCCAGTGCTCCCCATTTCTCTGTCAGATTGTTTATTTGGTGTTGCATTAAGTCCCTTGTATACTTTGAATATTTAGCGTTATTTGTGGATATCGTCCCCTATTCAGTAGATTGTTTTGTTTGTTTTCTTGATAATTCCTTTGACATGCAGAAACTTATTTTACTGTAGTCTTATTTGTTTATTTTTTCACCTGTTTGCTCTACCTATGATGAGATATCTAAAAACAGATTTTTAAGAGTCATAACAGAGTTTGACCCAAAGCTATTT